ATATTGTTTTTTCTTTTCGTTCTTTCATTTTATAATAGAACCGGTCACTTCAAAAAATTCTCAAAAAGTTGAAAATCATTTATATTCCGTAGGTAGTAGTAGTATGCAAGGATGGCGTATAAGTAAGTGGTTTTCTTGAATAATTTACTTTATCTAATACGTTGATTTATTTAGATATGGAAGACGCACACACTCATCTTTTATCCTTACCTGAAGATAAAAACTGCACATTTTTTGCTGTTTATGACGGACATGGAGGTTTGAAAAAATTCAATTTATTATATTTTATTTTATTCTATTGTTTTTAGGAGCAAAAGTCGCACAATATTCATGTAAACATTTACATACTCGTATTGCTAATCAACCTGACTTTAGTTCGTATTTTGATTTAATATATATATTTATTTCTTAGTAAAAAAACGTTTTTTTCTAGAACAAGGAAATATTGAAGCTGCTATTCGAAAAGGTTATATTGAATTTGATAAAGAAATGTCTTTAGATGAAGATATGCGAGAAGATCTAGCGGGCACAACAGCTATATGTGTTTTAGTTAAAGATCAAAAACTATATTGTGTATGTTGAATCAAAAACAAAAAAGAACAAAAAAAAGGAAATGATCTAATATTTAGGGTAATGTTGGTGATAGTAGAGCGATAGCATCTGTTAATGGTAATGTTGAGATACTTTCTGTTGATCATAAACCAAATAATGATGATGAAAGAAAGCGAATAACAGCTGCTGGTGGTTGGGTAGAATTTAATCGTGTTAATGGTAAAGAATTGATTTATAAAAAAAAAATTTATTTTAGATTTTATAATAAATAGGTAATTTGGCATTGTCTCGAGCATTAGGTGATTTTATATTTAAGCGAAATACGGATAAACGAGCTGAAGAACAAGTTGTTACTGGTATCAAAGAAAACAATGCTAAAATTTTAATAATGATGAAAATTTTATTTTTTAGCTGCTCCGGATGTTATTTGTAAAACAATAACTGAAGATTGGGAATTTATATTAATTGCTTGTGATGGTATATGGGATGTACTTAGTAATGAAGAAGTATTAAAATTTATTCGAGTTAGAGTTGCTCAACAAATGCCACCTGAAACGGTAGAAAAAAAATTTAACAAAAAAAAGCATAATAATAAATCTTAAAAAATTATTATTTATTTATATATTTTTGTTCTATTTGAGATCTGTGAAGAACTCATGACGCGTTGCTTAGCGCCGAACTGTCAAATGGGCGGTCTCGGCTGTGATAACATGACAGTTGTATTATGCCTTTTACTTCATGGACAACCTTATTCAACGTTAGCAGCTAAATGTTCAAAGAATTTAGCTAATGGTGATGTATCATCATCAACGCCATCATCAGCAGCTGAAACATTATCATCGAAATGAAAAAAAAAGGAAATAAAACATTTTTTTTTCTCTTTCATACAATTCAATAATTGAACAATTTTTTTTTTCTTTTTTTTTTCATATTTGATAATATCACTGTGTTCCATCATTTTAGAACAGTATGGATTACTGTTATCGGTGACGAGATCAAAAAACAAACAAAAACTACGACTTTACTCTTTTTTTCTTTTCGTTCTTTATCTATTTTTTTTTTTCTTATGAAAATGAAGACTACTGATGTGAGAGTACATTAGTGGTGTAAATTTATTTATATGCAAACAAGCGCGTGTGTGTGTGTTTATTCTGTATGACTATTATATATATAAATATATACACATGAACATCAACTTTTGACGTGTATATGAAAATGAAAAAAAAAACGATGTTATTCTTTGACTAGGCGCCTCTTTTCATTTTTATGGTTGATTAGAACTAAAAAGGCGTTCATACTTCTTTGTTCTTTGTTGCAATGTGTGCGTGCGTGCGTGCATATTTCTTTAGTTGACGAGTATATATCATATTTTGGACTTTTCTTTTTACCTGATGTGTGCATGTGTTTACATTTGGTTTTATCTTTCTTTTATTTAGTGTTTTATAAATCAGTGAAAACACATCACAAATCAAATGAAATCAATCTTAATTTTGATTTTATGAAACAATAAGTGTTTGAAAGATTTCGATGACAACTTTGTATTAATAATTAACAAGAAGAGTTCCTTTAATAATAAATTAACATTGAATTGTTAAGAAAAAAAAGGAATTTTTTTTGACAGTTCTGAGAAATCCATATTGCAATATCATAGCTTAATAAAAGTTAGATAACAATAGAAATAAAAAATTGATTAGTACTACGTATAATATAATAGAAGAAAGAATAGCAAATGATGGTTTCTATTTGCCAGATTCATGCCATTCAATCTATATCGGAAGAAAAGATTAAATTATAAAACTTTCGAATAGAATTCCATTAGAGTTTTGTATCCGCTATAGTTTGAAAATTAGCTTCTTTTACGTACTGAATATTTATTTTCTAACATGAACACAACATTAGTTATAAATACATTTGATAGATACTTTTTTTTTCTGTAACTATAATACATGAGTTACATAATTATCAGGAAGAGGAAAAGCAAAAATTTTTTTTTTCTTTCTCTTGCAGACTAATTGGTATCTTACAGAGTAAAAAATCAGCTTGCCGTGTGTCGGTTTTAAAAAGTTCAATGCTATTTTGAATAGACTAATCAAAAGCTAGCTTGATAAAAAGAAAAATGTAACGTCGTATAAGTTCAAATTAATACTTGTTAAAAAAATAATTATTCATCATGAATCGTTCATTTATTTATTTATTTTTTTTTTCAATAAATATATCACAAGAACAAAATCAGTATGTCATTGAAAATAAAACAACGAATAGTCTATGTCAAAACTAATCATATTTGTTGTCACATGAGTTTAAAATGAAATGAATTTCTTCATTATCAAAATAATAATTGAATCATATGCTTAGTTTCGTTCGGTTCTGTTGGCTTTCCTTTTTCTTTTTTTTTTTTATTATTTTTGATGATACTTATAAGTATACAAAACAAAAACAAAACAACCAACAAATTTCTTTTATTATTTTTAATCTTCTTTCACTTGAGTTGTACCACGTATACGACCTGTTCGGCGTGCAGCAATAAGACCAACTTTTCGACCTGGTGGTGCATATCGACTGACTGTTGATGGTTTGCCAATATGTTGATGGTTGCCACCACCGAAAGGATGGTCGACGGGCTTGAAGAAACAAAAATAAACATTATCATCTTTTCAATTAAAAAAAACCGATTACTTACATTCATAGCAACACCACGAACTTTTGGCCATGATTTTCGTTTAGCTTTAAATTTATGATAAGACCGGCCAGCTTTCAATATTGGTTTATCAATACGACCACCACCGGCTACGATACCTACATAAAAACAAACAAAAAGTTGTTTTTTTTTGTTTTCAATTAAATATTATATATATATATATATGCCTTCAGTAAAAGCCTCTAGATATAGTTTCTTGATCATTCATTATGTCAGAAACAATTATAGGAATATCGTTCATCATTTAACATATATATATATATTTTAAATTATGTAAAGTTTAATATAATACTTACCAACCATAGCACGATTAGTTGATGCTAAAGTTTTTTTAGCACCAGATGGTAATTTTACTTTTGTTTTACCACCTTCAGGGTTATGTGAAACAATTGTAGCATAATTACCTAAAAAAAAACAAGAATATTTGAATGCAGAACTCAGAAAGCTTTTTATCATCAAATAAATAATCAGTAGTCGAAACAACAGCTTAGAAAATTTTTCATCATAGTTCAAACACTCACCAGATGCTTTAGCTAATTTACCACGATCACCAGTTGTTTGTTCAATTTGGCAAATAATTGTACCTTCAGGCATTTGCCCTAATGGCATTACATTGCCAATTGTTAATGCAGCTATAAAAGAAAATTATGAATTTATTTTATTTCAACAAAAAAATGTTTCCTTTTCCATTTTTACCTTTTTTACCACAATAAATAAATTGTCCAGTGTACATGCCTTCAGCAGCAACTAATAATTCTTTTCGTTTTTTATATCGATATGGATCACGAAAGTGTACAATTGCAAGTGGAGCACCACGACCTGGATCGTGTATAATATCCTAATGAAAATTATGAATTAGGAAAAAGATATTTTTTTTTGTTTTGTTTTTACTTTAATAACACCGCGTAAATAACCCTGTCGTTCAGCATAATCCAAAGAACGAAATTTAGCTGGGCCCTTACGATGGAAAGTGCGAGCACGAAAGATGGCTGAACCACCTTTGCGCTGTGCGCGTATAACTCGACCCATTTTATCTAAAAGAAATATCGAGCAGTTAGCTATAAGAAAACGAATTTTATTTTCTTATTCTTTTTGAAAATGATCAAAAGAAATCTATGGACTGTTGTCTTCCATCGATTGTGGCTTACCTTCTACCTCCATGATCTAAACAAAAAATCAAATATATAAATGAATATATATATTTTAGTATGAAAAAAAATTCTTTTTCGATTATAAAAATTAATTCAGAACGTTTTTATTTTATATCCTCTAAATAAAATTTACAATAAGCGCTACTATCGAAAAATAAATTAAAATAACCAATCAGAAAAATGTTCATATGTAAATCATATTTTTCTGTTTTACGCATAGGATTGCCTACAATTTTGTATTGACGAATTTTGGCACATGGGTATGATCATAGTCACAGAATGTATATTCGAGGTCGTATGTACTTATTTTCTGCTGAGAAAAATTCACAAGGAAAGGAGAGATAGTGCTCTACATTAAATCCGCCAGCGCTGTTTTGATTGCCTTATTGCAATAGTCATAATTTTTAATACAATTTGACTTTATATTCATTATTATGCTAAATGATAAGTTCGAATACTTTTTAACATTTATCTTTGGATTAGATAGAACCGTAAACTTTGATAATGACGACACATGATTTATAACTTGTTTTTGACAAAAATAATAATATTTACTATGTTTATTTTAGTTTTAGACTAATTACATTACTAAAAATAACATGCTTCAATCTCGTGGTGTTGCTGATTTACTTGCAGCTGAAAAAAAAGCTCAAGAACTTATTGAAGAAGCTCGAAAACGTAAGTTTTTTGTTTTTTAAATTAAATTTTCTTTGACAAACTTCAGTACATGATAAATAATAGGCAAAAACAAACGTATAAAAGATGCTCAAAGTGAAGCAAAAACTGAAATTGAACAATTTAAAGCAGAACGTGAACGTCATTATAAAGCTTTAGAACAACAGGTTAATTATTTTTTGCATAATATTTATTTGTTTTAATAGAAAGTAATTCTTTTTGCTGTTTTTGAATAGCAATTGGGTAATCGTACTCAAATGACTGAACAATCGAATAAAGAAACTCAAGCACAAATAGCTGCATTAAAAAATCAATACGAATCGAATAAACAAGAATTACTACAACGTATCATTACACTTGTATGTGATATCAAACCTGAAGCACATATTAATGCTCGTATTGAATAAAAAAAAACCTACAATAATCACAACATTTTTCTGTTTCTCGTTTCTTTGTCATTCCAATGTATTAATCCTCGTCTAAGTTATCTTTATTTAATCTCTGATGGTAGCTTTTTATTTATTTATATAGAGAAATTGTATGTGTACTTCGTATTTTATTATTTATATATATTTTATTGTAATCGAAGTATATTGTCAAGTAGATAAATGTGCATTTATTCGGGAAAATCGTCATATTTTGAAAGATTTATAACATATCTGGACTTTTCATGATTAATGAATGAAAAAAAGTAAGAATATCGATTGAGAATCTACGTTGAAGATTTTTTCTATTTGTGTGTTCAAAGAAAAAACTTCTATGATGTCTTATTTTTGAAAAAAACCTTCGAACTGCACTAAAATCTATTCTTTTTATGTGTTCGATTGCCAAAAATATAAAACAAGAATAAAGATAGACAAAATATCAGTAAAATTTGAATGTGAAAACAGTGACGAGTCTATTCGACTTCTTTGAAAACACATGAGATGATAACTACGCAAAATCGTCAATATTACCGGTATAAACACATTAATGTTCGTAGTTGCTGACCTTGAAAAACGACGAATAGGAACATCGATGAGAAAAATACTTAGAATTCTACTGTTAGTTTTTCTAGTGTTATCTAAAACAATGCCATTAGTTATTCTGTATGGTTTGTCAACAATCGGATGAGAAATTCGACGGAGAAAAGATCAATTCCATTTAATGGAATGAACATGATTAAAGCACAAAAAAAAAACAACTTTTTCAATAAACATTTTAAGCTGTTTTCACAGAACACTTTTTAGTCTTGTTCGAAAATTTACTCCATAAACAAGACAGGACTGATTTTCTCGAGTAATGAAAAATAAAGCAATAATTGTATCATTTCTTATTATTGATGTAAATCGACTGCTGTAAAAAAAGGGTATGCCTGATTAATGTCGAAAAAAAAAATGTCGAAAGGAAAAATGTCGAAAGGAAAAATGTCGAAAAGTAAAAATGTCGAAAGGAAAAATGTCGAAAGGAAAAATGTCGAAAAGTAAAAATGTCGAAAGTAAAAATGTCGAAAAGGAAAAATGTCGAAAGGAAAAATGTCGAAAAGTTTGAAGACTGCAAAAGTAAGATCTTAGTAGTGTTAATGTTGTAGGGGAAAGGAAAAATGGGCGAAACTAGTTTTTTAATCAATTTACAAAAACAATAATTTAACAAAAAATATCTAATAATCAATCATTTTTTATTATTTTTGATTGTTTTATCCTTAGCAACAACATACGATAAACCCTNATAAAATGAATAAATACTATGAGAATGCTACATGATCCCCTCTTTATGTTTTTCCATTTCAGCTGATCGATGCTTAGACATATTCTCTTTGTACTTAGTGTAATAAAAATGAAATCAGTACGCCTATATAATATTCGACCTTATAATTATAATGAAAAGTTTTACAAGAAGATAAAATACACGGATTCAGTTTCCTGTATACTGGAATAAAAGAAACCTGTATTATACCAACGGCTCATAAAAATCTTATGCATCTTTAACTATATAAAACAAAAGACATCAGTACTGGAGAAGTCGTTGTAACAGGTAACATATAGAAGCAATCAATTTTCAAATAACTATTTAAAAAAGAACACTAAGAATTTTTTAAAACAGTCAAAACAGCTAAATCTATAAGATATAGATATTTACCCAATTAACTACTGACTTTATTTTCTAAAATAGACCTCAATATCGTCGAACAAAGTCTAATATAGTTTCTTTCAAGACGATGCAGTTAAAAATTAATTTGATTCAAGCATTTACATAATAGTGATATCTGATATATACTCACGAATTGACAATGACATCAATCTTCTTGTAAATTGATTTTATTTTACTTTTATATTTCAAATAAAAATTGTATTATATTGGTATTCATTGATGAGATTAATATGATATAACCCTTCATATTGTGAAAAAACTATTCTTTAACGGATAGAAAAAGTGATTGTTTTTTTGTTACTTTTAAAATGTTTGTTTCGTTTACTTCACGCAAACTGTAACTAAAAAGAAGCTATTTTAAAATTAATATCGAATCAGAAATAAAAAAAAAAACAAAGACAAAATATAACCATGATTTTCGATGACTTTTGCTTGAAAAACTATTAATTTTACATAGATATTCATAGATGTGGTTAGGTTCATATACATTTTGTACAGTTAAATTGATATATATATTCAATTCATCATATTAAATTGAAAAAATGAATTTAAGAAAACTTATTTCACTTACAATTAGTGCCTCAAGATCAATAAGATGAAAATCATTAAAGAGGTACAGTCAAACTAAATCGACTAAGTTTTATGTCCTAAACTATTGTTCCTAAAATATCTGATTTATTAGATCAAATTCATTCAATATATAAATAAACAACCAATACATGTCTATACATACACAAGACAGAATAAAAAATCCGAAGAAAAAAGTGTTTCTTAATTCCTGTTTCATTCATTCAAAATCAGATATAACCATTATAAAGTTCATATTCATCAACATGCCGACTGATTCAGAATTTAAAAAAAAACAGTACGAAACTAAATGTATACAGCTGGCCATTAATCCTCGCTTTAATTTATGTACTCCATTACATTCGTATCGACTTAGCATGTTGAACAATACGTCAGTATACAAAAGAATATAAATCAAACTTCTGTTTTTTTAAAGTTTAAATTTTATCATATTCATAGAATGTAACAAATTTGGGTTTGTATACAATCAAAGCTATGTAAANTGACTTGATATTAATTCCTCAACTATCGTCAAAATGTTTATTAACATGTTGAGATCGTTCATAAGTTCCCATAGTTGATGGAAAGATTATAAAACAAGCAGGACATTTATTGAGGATATCATCATGATTTATCATGTTAGAATTTCTATTATCATTGTCGATTATCGAATGATTGTCATGGATAGCAGATAAAGTTGTCAATAACTGTTGTCTAGAAAATCAAAAAAAAAGAAAATTTGAATATTAAATCATGATCGAATGCACTCACTTTATTTGATTAGAACTTGCAGATGTTAAGATAGAAGATGTAGATACATGTAGACTTTTATTACTATCTATTCTAAAATCATCGCTATTTGTCGATTTATTGTTAAATTTATGTGTGCTGAACACATCTTGTTTAACTTCGTCGGATTGTTTTTGTTTTTGCACTTGAATAAATGAAATAAGTCAGTCTGAATATTCAAATACACCTATTTCAAATTTTAAAGCATGATATTGTTCAATTAATTGGCGAACTTCTTCTCTGGTCTTTTTCTCTTCGTAGATCAATGCTGTATCGAGAAATTCTTGACATTTATCTTGAAGATAATTTAGTTGATATTTACATTCTTGTTCCAATAGAGCTTTTTGACTAACAATGTTTTCTTGAATTTGAGGTTTAAGATGAGGGTGTGAAGAGAGAATTACGTGCGGTTGTGGATATCGAGGAGAATGCTAATGAACAGAATACTCAAACTTTTACCTTGTTCAGATAGCATGCGGGTATTGATGTTCTGTCTACAAACACCCACATCCACACCATTATGATTCACTCTATTTGGATGACAGATGGAAGTGAGCAACTGCTAGCGCAAATGCTCGTAACAAAAATACAACATTTGGCTCATTTGACAGTGAAATAAAATAAAGTAGATAAAAAAATTCTCCTGTTGGCTAATGTACTCATTTATCACAAGTACACTTTGAAATAGCTGCATTTTCTCGAGAATACAACCATTAGTGAACTGAATGACAAATCACTTAGGCGAATGCAATAACATAACTTGCTATTACACATATTAGGGACAAAACATTGCAGTCGTTATTCAACAGGACAATAAGACGTTTGAAAACTTTCGTGAACAAAGTCAAAGTTCAATCTACCAATGTGGCTGGAAGTATTGACAGAATATTAATTTTTGATAGAAAGAAAGTCGAATTTTTTAAGAGGATAATTCGTCATTTTAATGAGACACTTTCAGAGCATCAAAATCATTATACGAACTGAGACTATGCATCACAAATAAGCTTAACACACCGAAATATAAAAACAAAAATACTTTGATATTTTTAATTGAATTTTCAAGTGTGTGACAATCTAGCAAAAAAACATCGAAATATATCATTCACTGATCTTAAAATGCAATAGTTCTTTTTATCGAACTAATATTTGAACGTAAGATTTCATGTACTTATTAGCATAAAATTATTCACTATTCATTTGTTTCAGACAATTAATATACTTCTGAACTAGTCAGAAAAATGATTACTATCAATTCCATTAGAAACTAATACTTTTCCATTTGTTAATATGCATACTATGTGCTGATATCGTGCATTATTCATAGTAGCTATAATTTTCCAAGTTTCTGTTGATCGATCGTATAACTCAGTAGCATTTAGATTCGAACTATCATTCTATCCACCACTAACTAACACTTTTCCATTTATTAATACGAATGCAGTGTGTTCATATCGTGCATTAGTCATACTAACAGTCGTTGTCTAAGTTTCTGTTGATGGATCATACAACTTAGCACTATTTAAATAAGAACTACCATTATATCCATCAATGACTAACATTTTTCCATCTGTGAATACGATTGCTTGGTGCCAGTATCGCGCATTGGTCATGTTACCACTGTTACGCCATCCAAAAAGAACCATTTGAATATATACATATTCAAAAGAGGAGTATCATCGAAGATACAGAATTTCCCATGCCTAAGTGAAGTGTTTTAAAATATTGTAAAATGAAATTTGTTTTTTACTCGAAGCGCAAAACCTTTTAGCATTCTATAAACTAAAAGTAGGTTTCAACTCCCTAGCAGTCATATGGGCTGGTCTATCTTTCGATTGTATACAAATTCAGGCAGTTATAACCGAAGAATATGAAGTATATCAACAAGTAGGAATTTTTTCCTCAATTTTCTCATAGTGCCCTG